CGGGGAAGGGGGGCAGGTGATCGAGGGTTGCAATGGGCCGCTGCACAGGGCAGGTGTGGCAGGGGGGACCCCGCGAGACCCCAGACCCGGGGGCTTTCCCTGGTTTGCAGACCCATCGCCAGTCGCGTCGGCTCCGCACCGTGACTCGGTGGTACCCGGCGGCGGTAAGTGAAACGGGCTCCCCAGCTCACCTAAGGCACGGCGATCTGCAGCCAGGTGTTGCCCAGAGGTTCGCTGGGGGAACTGAAGTTACTGTCCGTTTGGTTCCCAAGCGCGGGTGGCCACTGGCAAGCGAGCCTGAAAGCTACTAGCCGGCCCCTAGCTCACCGCATGTTCTTGTCTGGAGGGGAGAGCAGGCTGGGAGGGAGAGATATGGGGAACACAGCGCATTGACAGGGTTTCACTGCTCCTTAGAGATTTCTGCGGGGATTTGGCTGCTCCCAGGACCCTAAGCTTGGAGTTGTGTAAAAGCTATAGAATAACTCTACGTGCATGTATCCAGCCGTGTGTACATAGATGTGCATATCTGTGTGAGTACATGTATTTTATCTCTATATTTGTGTGTGCCCATGTGTATACGCATCTGTGTGTCCATATGTGTATGTGTGACTATACACATGTGTGTTTGTGTCCATATGTGTGCCTATCTATATGTGTATATACGTATATATCTATCCGTGTGTGCGTAACTATCGTTGTGTTGTATGTGTGTATAGAAGTATATATTTTAACAACTCTCTGAAGGTGGGTGATTTTTATGCATATACGTGTACATAAATATGTATATGTGCAGAAGCAAGAGATAATATATATATTTATGTGTCTGTACGCTTTTTCCAAGTTATCCTAAAGCTTCAGGGACATATTTTTTTTAAAATCCCCCAAATGTCAGTAATCTTAGCATTTTGATTCAAACCAAGCAAAACACAAAAATTCAGTATTCAGGCTAACACTACTTTGGTCTGAGTTAAGGATAAAGCTGCTACTTTTAACTTTTCTCATCTTTTTCACATTTTATGTCACTTGCTGAAGATGATGTAAAACATATTCTAAATAGTTGATTCATTTTAAAAATATCTTCCTTGGAAGGTTGTGAAACCAAATTGCTTCAAGACGCAGACTAGCAAATATTTAAGCTTGTGTAAATACGTCTCAGGTTGGTTAAATCTGCATGGAAACAATTTGAAAGGTGTATCTTCCACCTGATTAAATACATATTTTAGAACAATGACAATACATTTCTAGATACATTTCCCTTATAATGCTTCCAAGCCATTAAGAGTTAGTCTACTAACTACATATTTTTATACATGCAATGATTAGAAAACATAAGTTACTCTAAAGAGGGTTGCAATTGCAAAAATACCAGTTAAGGCATTTTTTTAGGACAATTTTTATAGTGCCTTTTATCCTCGAGGATAGATCAATGATCAATGTGAATCCTTCTTAATTAATTGATTAATGAGCAGAATAATAGGAATGGTTATGGTCTACTGTGAAATAACACATTCTTCCCCCACCCCTTCCAAAATACACCAATCAATGTACTGTCCACCAAACCTCTTTGTTTCTATGATTACTCATTTTAGAGGTAAAAGAATGAAAATCAACATTAAGTAAAAAATGCCCACCATTTTCCCCCTGCTGTGCAACTTAAAAATAAGCAAAATCGCTATTTTTATCAAGTACATTAAAATATAAATCTTGCTCCTGCACTGAGACACTGCTTTTTGTTGCTGTTTGTTTTCTTTGAGTTGTTTTTATTGGTGGCCTAGTTATACTCTTCTGCAAATGATGATTTTTAATGTAAATGTTGCCACCCTTGGTAAATGTAACAGAATGCTATCATTCAAAGATTGAATCCTTGGCAAGGTGCGGGGATCAAGTTCCTCTCTGGATCTTGTTTGCATCTTTATACTTAGATAATATGTGCTGGAGCAAGTTTTGAACGTAAACTCGAACACCAAAGCGCTGTTTAAGTGGAATTTAATTTAGAAATGGGTAAAGTGATGGGGTGAGGGGAAGGGAAGATACACTGTTACATCTTGATATTGAAAGGAAGATTTGTACAGATGTTTTGTGCAAACAAGATAGCCCCAGGGGAAAATCCTATAGAATTTAATAGTGTTGTTGCTAATAGGGTTCTGTACGAATCACTATAAAACCTATGAAGCTTAATTCTAATCTGATTTGCCCTGGTTTAAATCAAGAGTAATTCGTTTGACATCAATGGTCCAGATCCTTAGCTGGTGTCATTGAGTTCAATGGAGCTACCCCAGTTTACACCAGCTGAGGATCTGGTTTAATAGTGTGAGTTCAGAATCAAGCCTGTAGACTTTAGTAAAGCAGGAGATCCTGGCTAAATACATTTCTTGAAGCATCCTATAGGATTCTACTGCAGGAAAGATCATTCTCTATTAGGATGGTTCAGAAAACCCATAGAAGGGTTATTTTTTTTTCTATTAAATCTCCATTAGAGACCAGAATTTCAAAGCTTTGTCTCTCCTTACATACAGTATAATAATAATGAATCATGTTTATAAAGCACCCACCCACCAAAGCTCTCAAGAAGCAGTACAGCAATGTTATCGATACTGCATGGCACAATACAGGATAATACAGTATTACTGTTTGTGTGTAAACCTATATAATGAGACGTGCAGAGAGTTGTTCAAACTGTGGTGAAGAAATCCATGTAATATCGACTGGCTTCTCTTTCTGAGTATTGATGTCAAGTTTACTGATGGTTTCAACCAGATGGTTATCACTAAGTGATCCAGACCCATTCTTGATCAGAAGCTAAGGTTGATTGTCCCTTGCCATATGCAGGGAAATATGGAGGCATAAGGTGCTCCCTTACTTCTTTGCATGGGATGCACATGCAGCCTCCCCATGGCCACTACTCCCCTTCCCATGAAGGGGTGGGGAATGGGCAGGGCTTTAGTTCCATCCACACCAACAGTGCATCACACAGTGCGGAGGGGGAAGTAATCTACGACTTCTCTTTGCTCGTTTTCCCCATGGAACAAGTTGGGAGCCAAGAGACTGAGGCTGGGTCTACACTACCCGCCTGAATCGGCGGGTAGAAATCGACCTCTCGGGGATCGATTTATCGCGTCCCGATCCCCCAATCGACGCTCTTACTCCACCAGCGGAGGTGGGAGTAAGCGCCGTCGACGGGAAGACGCAGAGGTCGATTTTGCCGCCGTCCCTACAGCGGGATAAGTCGGCTGCGATACGTCGAATTCAGCTACGCTATTCGCATAGCTGAATTTGCATATCTTAAATCGACACACACACACACACACCCCCCCCGTAGTGTAGATGTAGCCATAGTCTCTTCCCTGGGCTAGTGCAGCTATGTGCTACCCCTTCCGCAGGGCAGATTGCAGAGTGATGCTCTAGCCCTAACCTGGTGGAAAGGAGTGGGACATAGTAACAAGAGGTCTTGTGTAAAACGTATCTTTTCATTTAAAATCATCTCTTTATTTGAATAGTAGAACCGCCAGGACAAAAGACAAGGTTTTCTCACAGGCTTTGTAATATCCAACTCTAGGCTGGGAACAACTTCAGTGCACATGTGTGTGAGTTTTCCCATTGCTACAGACAAAAAAGCAATTGTCTACACAAATGTTTCAGTTTCTACCACCTGGGAAGCAAGGCTATCGCTGCCTCCTCTGGTATGCTCAGAATCCAGTGGCCAATGTCTGGGAAACTGTCGTCGTATATTTTTTTACTGCAGGGTTTTTCCATATTTTTTTTCAGTATTCCACGAATATTACAAGGGATATAATATGTAGTTTCAAGCTGTGTGTTAACTCAGTGGTGTTGGATCATCAGTCGATGTAAATCAATGTAGTTCCATTGAAATCAATGGGCACTGAAGTCAATGGAGCTACATGAATTTATACCGAGGATCTATCCCAATATTCCTTTTATCTTCATATTGGCCCCATGAAGCTAAAATGACATAATTGGAAACACTGTAATGCCATTATGCACAGCTACAATGGAACTAAGTGGAAATTTAGGTAGCAGTCTGCATACTATATAGATATAGGGCCATGTTGTCAACTGGTGTAAATCAGCATAACTCCATGGAAATCAATGGAGTTACACAAATTTGCACCAGCTGAGGATCTACCCCATAACCTGTAGCATAAAATAGTATAAAAACGCAATTGTAAAAGGATAACTAAACAGATCATTCTACGCTACAGTCTGTTCTTAGATGCAGACACCAGCCTCATTATGATGGTCATTATTGTACCATAAAGGTACACGGCAATGGCCAGTAGGAAGTGTCTACACTGAAGAACTTACAATCGAAAGCCCCAGTTCAATAAAGTACTTAAGCATGTGCCTAACTTCAAACACCTAAGTAAGCCCATTGACTTCATTGAGACTGCTAATATGCTTAAAGTTTGGCACACGCTTAAGTACCTTGCTGAATGGGGCCTATGGCTCTGATCTGGCACCATTAGAGTCAATGGGAGCTTTGCCACTTATTTTGATGAGTGTAGACTCCGTGAACAAATGAGGATGGTGGAAAAACAAGACAGGATATGCATTAAGCAGGGAACGCACAGCAGAGCTTGAACACTTCATGGATAAAGATTTTTTCCAAGGTTTCTTGTAGGGGACTGAGAGACCCTAGAGCCTTCAAATGGGGAGGTTATTTCAGGTATAAATGGGTGGCATGGGAATAGGCACAAAAGTCAGAAATGAATGAAGAGGAAAATGGGGTGATGAGTGATAAAGCCTGGGAGGAACACGAAGAGCTTCAGTCAGTGGAGAAATGACGTGAGGAGAAGAAGGCCAAGCTGGACCTGGAGTAAGTGTAAGAGCAATGTGAAGATTCAAGGATGACTGAAATGTGGTCAGAGCAGCGGGGAAAGAAAGATGGTTTTGGTAGCTGCATTTTGGGTTGATGGAAGTGGAGAGAGTTACGAGTGGAGGAGGAGAAGCTGCAGTAATTAAAGCATGAGATTGCAATGGCGAGGAAGGCGTGAATTTTGAAGGTTGTGTAGAGGTAGCAACTGCTGAATTTGGCAAGGAGAGGGGGAGAGATGACATTAAGGATGCCATCTTATTCAGTGGAGAGGATGATGGTGATAGAGGTGGGGAGGAGGGGGAGGTTTATGGAGGAAATTTCAGGGAGTTGATGTTCACCACTAGGAATTTCAAGTGGTAGTGAGTCACATGAAAGGAGATATCAGAGAGCCAAGTGGAGATATGAAAATGGGGAAAAAATTGAAAGTTCATGCATGCCTACAAATTCTTTCAGAGAAACCAGAGCAGGGGTGGGCAATTTTTTTGGGCCGAGGGCCACATCTGGATGGGGAAATTGTATGCAGGGCCGGGGCAGGAGGTTGGGGGGCAGGAGGGAGTGCGGGATGTGAGAGGGGGTGCAGTG